TGCAGTTGTGTTTTCAGATCGATGCTTATGTAAATATATGGTGAAACACATTCTTCTGCCAGAACCTTTTCTGTTCTGAAGGGACGTTTTACTATACTAAGAGCCTTCTGACTTGGAGAAAGGACTACAATCCAGAATCTATTCTGGATTTCCAAATTACAACTTTACCACCATATTGTTTGGTTTCTAGCCTTTCATCCTGAATATTTTCCGAGGCAGAGAATTATGTTTGTGAAGAAGAGGAAATACTTTTTATATGTTTGGAAAATTTGAAATTCTAGGGTGTTTTTTGTTGAGTGTAATTAGGCTTCTTTAAATCAGATATGATAGTGGAAATGGTATTTTTGCTAACTCGACTATCTTTTTATCTCTTCCTGAGAGTACCTTTCCTTCAGAATAATCTCACAAAATTGCAAGTCATCGTTGCTGGCAGGCACCTTTGGAGATTGTCTAATGCACTCAGTGTTCAGATCAGGGTCAAGTAAATCAGGTTGCTCAGGGCTGTGTCCAGGTCTGGCTCCCTCTTCACTTCCTCTTGTCAGGTACTTACTGACATTGCTAGAATTCCCCTGTGCTTTTTCTTCTTCAGGCTAAATAATCCTAGCTCTCTCAGCTTCTCCTCATATAACGGATTTATTTAATCAGCTTTGGCCCTTTGTTAGACTTACTTCAATAAATCTATGTCTCTCTTGTACTGTGGTGCCCAGAACTGGACCCAGCACTACAGATGCATCTTACCAGTACTGAGCAGAATGTGAAACATCACATCCTTGACCTGCTGCTAATACAGACCAGGATATCATTGACTTTCTGTCCTCAAACATACATTGCTGTTTCATTGTCAGTTTCATGGCGTTTTAGTTCCTTTTTTTACAAGTTACTCCCCAGCTTGAACTGCTACATGCACTTATTCTTTCTCTCTCAGATTTCCTTTCTTCAAGTGTGTCAAATACAGTGAGCACACATAACTCTACTTTGAAAAGGAAGATAGAGTCCACAGGTCAAACACAATTGTAGCTGCTGAATAAAATGGCAGCTCCAATTCCAGAAGATGAGATTACTTTTCTCCTAGAACCTCCATCCACCACTGCATTTACATTATGGGATGTCATTCCTGTGTGAATGTTTCCTAGATTACCTCAAAAGGTAAATCAAGTGATAGCTTGTTTCACAGCCCGCTTCAGTAGAAAGAGGCACTCACAAAATGTGCGCCTTTTGCTGACTTTGCTCGACTATTCGATCATTTAAATCAACCATTCTTCAGGTTGGAGGTGATCCTTGAAAATAATCCTTTTAAAATCAAGGGCAACTGAAGACCTGTAAGGATGAACAAGGACCTCCTGACTACATTCAGACATTTAAAGAAAGCACACAGGACATAGAAGGAGAGATAGATGACCTGGAAGGAAGACAGAGACACTGTCAAAGCATAGAGGGATTAACTTAGGAAAGACAGAATCTACCTAGAATTGAATCTAGCAAGGACAATAGTAAATGTGCCCTCGAGTACATCATCAATAAAAGGAAGAGTAGGCAAAACATGGGCCTGCTGCTTAAGTGGGAAAGGGATCTGGTGATGAGACATAGAAAAGGCTTCTTCAGTACCATGTTTACCACAGTCTTTATTGTTAAGTCTTACCTTCATGAATCCTAGTTTCCTAAGACTAAGGTCTTAGGTGGTAAAGACTAAGGCTAAGTGGTAAAGTCTGGATCAATAAGACTTACCTTCAGAGGTGGAAGACAAGGTTAGGAAACATTTGAACAAACTGATCACATACACATGTGACCTGATGAGATGCTCTTAGAAGTTCTAAGCTAGTGGGCCAGTATCATTGTCAAGCCACTCTGAATTCTTCTGATCACCATAGTGATTCTGAAGTTTGCAAGAAAGCAAACGACAAAAAAAAGATGCGAGTAACTTAAGGTCAGCAGGCCTCACACTGATTCTTGAAAAACTGATGGAATAAATAATCCTGGAAACCAGTTTTGAACACATGAAGGGCAAAAAGGTGATCAGGAATATTAGAAAGTGGAATACTCACTTAAGTAATATGACAGCCTTTGACAATGTGCCATCTGTCTTGAAGGCGAAAGGAGAGAGCAATTAAAGTTGTTTATTTTGACTTTCATAAGTCTTTAGACACTGCCTCCCATAACATCCTCACAGGCAAACTAGGTAAGTGGAGAGTCAAGTAGATTTAAAATTGGCTGAACTGTGGGACAACTGTGGAGGGCTGTAAGCAGCAGCATAAAGCCAGTGGGGTCGGAATCCTAGCAGATGTTTAACATCTTCATTGATGACTGGGATAATGGTCAGAGAGTTCTCTCAGTAAGTTTTCAGGTAGAAATTCAAAGCATTGACTGATTTACCAGATAGGTTGCACTACCCTTCAGAAAGACCTGAAAATAGTTGAAGAATGGGCCTCAACAGGAACTTCAGGAAGTTCAAAAGCAAGAAGTGCAAAGTCTTGCATCTGAGGAAGAATAAATGCATGTAGCAGTTGAATGCCATGAATGCTATCACATGGAAACTTGTGTAGAACAGAGAGCTCCACTCTCTTTAGCAGTGGGCCATGCCAGGTATGAGAGGAAGCGGAAGTTTTAGAAAGGGAAATTCTAATTACCTTTGTGGAGTCAAAAAAAAACAACTTCACAGAGGATTGTGATGTACTTGAATAGATTGCCTGCAGGGGCTGTCGAATCTCCATCCTCGAGGACGCTCACAACTTTCCTGGACATTGCTCTGAACAGCATAACCTTACTTCAAGCATGGCCCTGCTTTGAGTTGGGAGAAGGACTGGATGACCTCCGGAGACCCTGTCAGCTTAAATTATTCCATGATTTTATGACTCTACACATTCTTACTAGATTCCTGTCAGTGAGACTTAAGAAATTAGATCGATATGTTCAGACTCTTTTGGACTCCTAACCAGTGTCTGGATTTCCAGCACTGTAGTTCACAGTATTTTTCTTCGCTTCTAGTAATGGAAGAGAGTGAAAATGGGATTTAGGAAGTATATTAAATTCTTTGCAGCTGAAGTGTGGAGAAACTGGCTAGTCTGAGGATTTCCCTTTGATCTTTGTTGCCGGTGTAAAAGACTGAAATTGGCATACAGAATATGAATGCAGTTAACAAAGCACAAAGAAGCAGTGAAGACTAAATAAACTGCAATATGCCTAAATTGTGGTAGGTTAACCAAAATGAAAAAAAAAAAACAAAAACAAAAACCCAAAAGATAGATGGAAAAAGAACTCTCACATTTGACTTTTCCATGGGAAAGGATTTTTTTTTCTAGGAAGGCTGAGTTTGACCTTGTCTGTGCTGTGGTGGTTTATGTAAAAAGAGGATTTATTTTGTTATGATTCTGATCATGTTGCTACATTATCTTATTTGTAACATGTGAGGTCTTTAAGATGTTATCAGTGCGTGAGAGTAAATGGATTTAATATATTCACATCCTATAAACTATTTTTACTGAATTTTAGCAAATTTAAGCTCTGTCTACATACAGAATTCTATAGAGTAAGAATTAAAACCTCACTTTTTAAATATATGGAAGTGGTTTGGAAATTTTTTATGAAGAGTAGTACAAATTCTCACATAAGGAAAGGCGTGTAAATGCTACAGGGAACCTAACATTGAAATACACATATGAATAATATATTAGTTGATATACAGTACATATAATTAAAATTGAAAGAGTAAAGCAAATTTATAAAATATTTAAACTGAGTAGTGAAGAACACTGCAGAGAATTAAATACATGTCTCTTTTTTTTTTTTTTTTTTCTTTTTTCTTTTTTGCCTGCCAGTTATATACTATCAGTATGTAGAAGTTCTCTGAGGAAGGATGTTTTCCATACTTAAGAAATTGATGGGGTCTTTACATGTGCAGTGAAGCATAACTAAAGCAATAGTTTATAGATATTATAGAAAACAGTAGGATTTTTCTCACTGCAAAGAGGATAGTCTTTCGTAATCAAGTAGAAGTAGAAATTACTAACATGGGCACTAAGAGTTTATAAAATAGTAATTAAGAATGGTGAGACATCTTTGAACTTAACCTTTGTCATTACGGAATTATGAAATTATGAAATTAATTACGAAAAATTATGTAAATCTAATTTCCTCTTTTTAAAAAAATCTCCTTAGATATATCACATCTTGTCTGTGGTCTTCTAAAATTATGCATTTTGTTGAGAAATCAAAACTGTGTACGCCCAACAAGATGTTAGTCTTGTCTAGAATTGTGGATGCATCTGTAATAGCAGTCTTTGAAAGCTGAGAGTTTTAAAATCAGATATAAATTGAAAGAATGATTTGCCAGTCTTTAAATTGTGTTCATTAAAAACTCTGCTATATTACAGTTAAACTTAATGGAAGTCCAGTATCTTAGTTTGAACAGCAGGTTTCAATGAACAGCTTTCTTTAAGAAAATTCAGAGCTAGAAGCTGATGACCTCTGCTGTTTGATATTCCATCCATAAGGAAGAGTTTTTGAGATTGAAGAAATCACTATTGAGCATGAAAGATACTAACAACTGAAGTAGACAGATTTGCAATGAGAATAGGTGTGGGATTTGACAGAGTGCCAAATAATGAATTTCTAGCCTGTCTGCCAGTAGTTTGTTGTCTTTCTGGATGTCCTTGTAGGTTATAATGGTAGATTTCATTGCTTGCATTGTTGGACAGTGGTTAATTAGCAGTCATTAAGATATTTTTAAAGCAGCAGAAGATTAAAACTAGTTTTAAATACAATCATTTTTTATTTTTGTCTTCTCTACTTGGAGCTTATACTTTTATTTTCAATAGCTTTCAAGGTTCTCTAAAACTCTGTTAATTATTTATGGTAATATTAGCTCTCTTGACTCAAGGAGTGACAAATATAACATGAATTTAAATTTCAGTGGCAACAAGAACATTGTGATATGTCCTGCTTATGTTTGCTATTTTAATGGATTTCTTTTTTCCCCTCTTGTTTGCATCTCCTGTCAAATAAAGGCCAAGAAACACCAGGTCTTTGTAACAGAGACATACGAAAACAACATGATGGAGCTGAAGTTACTCTTGGACAGCTTTGCTATGTCAGGCCAGCGGACAGCAGGTTAGTTGAAGGTATAAAATGACAGATGCATCTGTCAATGTTCCAAAGTCACTACATTGTGGGAATTCTGCAGATGCCTCTTGCATTCCCTCTTCTCAACATGCTTTGATTTGATGACATGATAAGAGCAGTTCTCACAGCAGTCAAATGGCCTTGCTAGCTGAGAAAGGGTGACGGAATGTGGACTTGCTGTTGTCAGCCCAGAGCTTGATTTACAAATGCTGGGGTGTATATGATCGGTCAGAAAAGGGCTCACTTGCTGTGCTCTAAATCCAACTGAGAAAAAAGTCCTTACAGTATACCTGCAAAGGGAACAGATGTTTTGTCTGAACTGAGCCAAATTCAGAGGCAACCTTCAGCAACATAAAGGTCATATATTCAAAAAGGTTGTGTAGGACACATGATATAACACAATACTTTTTACTGTTGCTTTTGCACTAGTATTGTCTTGCATTCATTTGATCTAATATGAAACAAAAAATATTTTTCTGTTCTCATTAAATGAATTGTAAGGTTTGTCACTCAGCAAACTGCCATGTGCTTAAACATTGAAAATGGTGGCTAGGAAATTGTATTTTAACGTGAAAGGTGTTAATTTCTTTTTCAGTGAAACAGTACACTTTTTCTATTTTAAATTAGCTAAAAATAATTTTATGTATATAGTTCCTGCTAGACATGAAAAACTTCCAACTGCCAGAGCAAATAAACTAGGAAAAAAAATCAAAACGTAAGAAGTTGCTTAAAGGGCAAATGAATTTATTTTATTTAAATTGTGATGATAGGTTTCTGCACTGTTGAGCAGCAATAGGTGTAAGAGGTGGTGTAGCACATCTAAGGAAAGGTGTGTATATACAAATATATATAAGCATCTTTTTTAGGAGTTGGTACTGTTAGAATGGAATAGAGAAACCTAAGACTTCTCATCCTCAAAAACCTAGCCTTGCATTTGTGATAAATTGCTTTCATCATATCATTTGGAAACTGGATAGAGATTTATTCTGTAATTACAAATGTAATTCCTGTGGGTAACACCTATGGGCTCTGTAGGTTTACTGTAGATATGTCAGACTGAAAAGCTCTTCAAAACTTTGTTTTCCTCATTCTTGCAAAGTTCCACATGCCTAGAAGGGATTCTGCAGTTCTGGAGGGAGCTGGATGCTGCAGCCAGTGCATAGTTCCAAAGCAGTAATTGTCCTCTGGGTAGGTTTTCTGCTCACCCATGTGATAAACCTTCCAGACAACGGTTTTGACCTATCTTAACTGTGATTTGGTAATTTCAATATTAATTTGCTTTGTTGTTTCAAGTAAAATTTGAAAGAGCTTATTTAAAGAGAACTGGATGCTGACTAGGGTACTTGCTTCAGGGTGTGAAATTTTTAGCAAGCATTTTTAACACTGTTACCCTAATGTGTTGTACTTATGAATTTATTACGTAACAATTTATTTCATTTAAAAAAAAGTCTTATTTTAAATGGAAATGCCTTGTTGTCAATGGAAGTTAAAATCTTCAATAAATTGCTATAGTCTAGTTGGCAGAAATGGAGAATTAGTACTACATGAGCAGTTTGTTGGGAATTCTTTCTTTCTGTTGCAATTTTTAAGCTTCCATCTCAAATGGTTGAAAGTTTTACTTAAAAATCTGTCAATGTTAGGAGTTCAGCCTCACCATTTAAGTGCTGATAGTTGTGATGCTTTTTGAGCTATGCAGGAAAAGGAGACTTTATACTTGTTAGATTAAGAAAAAAAGTATTTTAAAAATTTATTTTTTCCGTTTTCATTCCCAAAAGAAGAAGCGTTAGCCTACATCTTCCTCTTTTCAAGTAACCTTCATAAGCATTCTTCAGCATTGTTACTCTTGCTGGCCAGTCTGCATGATAACAGTTTGTCCCCATTCAGGTTGTTACGTTTTGTAATTATTCAACCATAGGACTTGTGCCTGGTGAAGTCTTAAATTTCAGGGAAAAAAAAAAAGTAGTTGAATGAATCTGGGGAAAACAAGAAAGTGAATTGACTGTGAAGAGGTATGCGTGTTAGTTTCTTGAGTCAATAGAAAGTCTGAAGGAGTGCTTTTAAGAGTTTTCTCACCTATTTACCTCTTGTCAGAGCTCTATAGAACCTGGTATCTTCTCAAAATTCTTCCCTGAAGCTCGTAGATATCACTGGGCAAATGCTTCAAGTAATGTTTTTTAATTCCTCATTGCTGAAGAAGGGCCAGTAAGATAATGCCATTTGGATTATGTTGCATGTCTCTTGCAAAGTTGTATAGAAACAGACAAATTTTGGCCAGTATTGGAAGTGTGGGCTTGTTTTCAGCTAATGGACGAAGGTGGAATCTGGTATTTCTGTTGGCAGGCTGAGCTGCCTAGAAAATAGGGTTTCAGTAAAGGCAAGGAATGTCAGGATAGAAAGTTTACTGGCAAAAGTCTGTTCTTGGCAGCCATCATGTAAATTAAACAGTTCAGAGGCATGTTTCAGGGACGGCATTGCAGTTTGGGGCTTCAGAAATGAAGATAAATTATTTGGAGTGCTTGTTGAAAAATACGTATTGGAAGACAACCCCTAGACTGAATTAATGAGTATTAAATTGATGATAATTGTGTATTACAGCTTCTTTGGAGTGAGAAATATAGAAGAATAATACTTTTTTTTTTTTTTTCTTCTTTTTTTCTCTGTGCAGTAGTATTGGTGCGAAATGTTCCTACAGTGGGCAATAGAAAGAAGTCTTGAGACAACAGGACTGGAGTCCTGGGTTTTCTTGCTTTAGCTATGGTGACGAAACATTTTATGTTTTTTTTTTCATGTTGATTTTAAATGTAACATTTTGTTATCTATTCTAGAACTCAGTTTTGGTTTAGGGACTTCCATTGAAAAGGTCTGGCTTTTCCCTGACTCTGTAGACCTTTAGAAGCTGCAGTAAGTATCTGTCTGCTGAAGGCACCTGATACTACAGAGGAGCATCCTGTACTTGAGATATGCATTCTTTCTATATTTACTTTTATGCTGTAGAGCAGACCTTGCTCCCATGACTGAAAGACAATTTACAAAGCTAGATTTGTTTTTTGAGGTGTGACTTTGACAGTAACGGCTGGCTAGCAAGAAATGTTAGTGTCCAGTTCTGAATGGTACTCAGACATATTCTATGCTTCTTTGTGTTAAAGGGCTGGGAAATAAGCCCATAATAAAAAATTCAGAAATTATTTGTTATTCTTTTTTGCATTATTCTATTTCTTATTTGCATGTATGTGTAGATAGCAATGGTGTGTTATATGTAGTCCGCAGGATAAATCATTTTTGCATAATGCATGGAGTAATATGTCATTTGGAAATGCTAGCCATAGTATTCTTAAAATAAAAAAAAAATGATATCCAACAACTTTTAAATCTGTAAGGACACCTTTGCTGACTGACAGAATTTTATAGAGGACTGTGACTGACCCAAGAAAAAGACTTAGAGTTTAGTGCATGATATGACTTTGTGAGCCACCCTGGATAAATTAAGATAGTGGAAAAGTAAGTTTCAAGGATATCATTACAAGTTTGGACTTCAGATATGTTATTTGAAGAGCTTACTGAAAAATAGAGTGGGAGGCAATCCCTAGATTGACTTAACAGGAATTATTTTAAATTGATGATAATTGTGCATTATAGCTTCATTGGAACTAGAAATATGGAAGAACGAACACTACTTTTTTTTCTGTGAAGTAGGATCACTGCAAAATGTTCCTATAGTAGGTAATCTGTGCATCCTTAATTTTAAAGCTTGAAGAAAATATATTACTGCCTGTTACAAAATAGATTTGTATGTGTTGCATACTAATATTAAAAAATCTAAGAAGAGGAATTTGTCAATAATCTGCTGTTTTGCTGTAGTGCCAGAGAAAAATGGGGAAGTTTGTTCACAGAAGTTTAATATCAGCTGACCTCCTGTGATGTCATCTCTTGATCGGTATTGTGTTGTTTTGCTTTCTTAGCACACTGTACCACAGGCTTTGGAATGTTCAAACTTGTTTATAAGTCCTGATTAAGGCCACCAGATCAGAATTCTCTGTAGAAAGGTTTAATAAGTAAGTGTAGTATGTGTGTATAATGGATGTATCAGCATGAAGATTTATAATTGAAACATTATGAAGGACTCTGCAGATAGATAATATATTTTTTTAAATTATTATTCTTTCCTTTGGACTGAAATTGAAAATCATTTAAAAGGTTTTCAAGACTTGTCCAAGCATAACAGTCATGTGATCTTTGGCTCAGTAAAGCTTTGAGTAAATGATGTACTACATTATAATTTACATGCTTAGTCACAACAGTGGAGTAATGTCAAGAAAAGTGTAATGTTCTTAACTTTCAGGCAACGTGTTTTTCAAGGTGTGTTATAGTGCGGTTTTAATGCTGGCTGGTATGACTGAATAACAGAGATCTGACCGCTGTAGAACTTGTATGTGAGACTGCATACCAAACACATTAAGTAAAAATATAACTCAAAATTTACAGTTGTGTATCTTGTATTAAAGCTTTTATACGAATGTCTTTCAGCTGTATTTATTATGAAAGTGTTACTATCCAGTTTTATCTCCTGTGGACAACAAGGCTGCTGTTCAGTGTTTTGTATTGTCATTGAAGCCTAACTAATTTTAATACCTCTCATCTAGTGTGAGTAGTTTTTTCTCTGTGGCTTTTTGGGCTTAATTTTCATTCTGTATTTTTCTTTAGGCACTTATAAGGACAAAGATAAACCTTCAAGCCTCTCTGTCCTTGAGACTTTGAGGTGTACCTTGACAGCTTACCAGAACAAGCTGGAAGACACATCTAATGAGGTAACACTTGCACTGTTTGGCTCTATACGTATTGCCTTCGGCCTGCAGCAGTACATGTGCTTTGCTTGTAACAAAGGTCAGAAGAGAGGGAATGCTGACAGCTTCACATATACTAAAAGAAATAGTCTCTGTCACTACGGTTTCTCTAAACTTGCCTTACAGTGAAGTTTCACTTACATTTGGGAGGAAAGGGAAGAAGAGGGTCTATTTTTTCCTTTTTTTGTTTTTTTTTTTTTCTTTTTTTTTAATGTGTTGGGCTTATTATTTTTAATAAACAATCATGGAAATAGTTCTTCTGAATCTCTGATTTCAGTTAAAAAACAGTGTAAGAGTTTGATGGGCTGTGTATAACATGATAATCCTGAATGCCACTTGAGCCTCAACACTCTTTGATATCAGATATGCAAATATGTACTCTGTTGTATATTTTGGAAGTGGCATATTCTGCTGAGATTAGTGAGTTTATTATGAAGTCTCTAGTTTTTGGTGATTCCCTGCAGTCTTTTTAAGTAAACTGGTACCTTGGCAGTAATTTCGTTAAGATATCTAAGATGACAATTGATAAATTTCAGTTTTGTGAGTCTTATCTTTGAAAAAAAAAAAAAAGAATGCTTTTGGTAGAATTCTACTGACCTTTTATTTCACCGTCTGAAAAGTCACAATCTTGCATTTATTTTCTCATTTGTATTGCTAATGTGATTAAATTAATCCTCTTGGGTTTAAATGTTTTATGAATTTGTGGCTTTAAAGGCTGTAGAGAGAAGTTAAATACACTTTTCTGAAGCTTTTTTGTACAAAATTGTAAATAGCTTATCTTTGGATTAAGTTAGCAAGTACGGATGATGAAGGTGCAATAAGATTGTAAAATTGCCAGTAGTGATTTTTCATTCTTAAGTTTCATCTTTTGTTTTTACACATACACAGCCTTGCTGTGCCTTCATAATGTTAAAAACAAAACTGTATCATCTTCGTCCCTCTTACTGGAAAAAGCCTAGTATCCTGGAATACCGTTGAGTTTGTTCAATGGGTGCAAAAATAAGTAACCATGGAAACAATTATACTTTAGTAAACAGCAAGCACAGTTAGGTCTCTCCCAGTGAGATAAGAGAACTGACGTGTACAGTCATTATGAAAGTCTTCTGAGACCCAAGTCTGGGAGCTGCAGAGTAACTAGGAACATATTACCCACAGTGAATTGTTATTTGGGAGGAGGAATGTCACGTGATACGCAGCACAGTTGAAAAGTCGACTCAGCAGGCTTTGGCTTAGTGATGTGCTTTGTTGTGAAACTGTGCCAGAGACAGCAGTGGGGAGACCAAGGGGGTGGCTGCTAAGAAAGCAAAGTGAGTATTCTGACAGAAAGAAGAATGAACTGTCAAGGAAAATAAATCGCAAGCAGAGCAGGACCAACTGATGACCTGCCACAAGACTTCCCAGTAGGACTGCGTGTGACTGACCCTGAAGTTGTCATACGGAGCCAGAGATCACTGAGCACCTTCATGGTGCACAGAAAGGGCAGCGCTCTGCCCTTTTTCATTGTCCCTGCCTGCATAGATAACAGTGCTTTTGGCTTCTTGTATGTTGGATATGTTTAGTAATAAAACTGTTCCCTATAAAACAATGCAACTAAGAGGGACGATAGAGGGCATTGTGCAGTAAAATAGGGTGTTTTATTATGCACCACTTAGGGTTTAGTTTCGAAGAACTGTGGAGCAGTTACTTTTATAGTGAGGTTTCCAACATGATCACATACATTGATGAAATTATTAATACACATTTCCATCTGTGTGCACATGTGAAATCTGCCGACAGACTTGGCATTTGTCACTTTTAGCTTAGTGTGTTAAACATTAGATTAAATGATCTACTTTGGCTGTGTGACTGAAAGGTGTACACATGTTTTGGTTTTGACAGAAAATAAGCTTTTGACTTTCTGTATAGTGCACATGTTAGAATAGGTTTGGGAAGAGAGAAAAGGCTGCTAAACTAATAAAATTACTGCATTCTGTGATGCACTGCAGTTATTTCCTTAGTTTTTTGCCAGGTTTCCTTATCTGAGTTAGAACAAAAATATAGGCTCTAGAATAATTAGTGAATTTTGTAAATGGGATATTTGACTTCCGAGTTGCTTCTGAGCGCTCAGCTGCGAAGAATAACCTTTCTATAGCACCTGTATATTTGGTGCTTAATTTCAGACATATGTATTACTAACCATGCTGTAGCACAGATTGTAGTGATGTTTCTGAAAGTGAAAAATGAAGCTGGTATACATACTGGTCACAACACACCTCTAAGGTAGGTTACTTCTAATACCCCAAACTGTTCAGTAGTTTTTGTACCTCTCTTGAGAACATTGCTACTTCTTCAGGTTATGTGAGTGCTATGCTGCCCTTACTAAAAAGTGGCGGCTACTCTGTACGTGGACACCTTCTGCAGAAGGCCACTGACTTGGAAAACTTGTTTTCTGAAACCACTCCCTAAATCATAATCTAAATTTATTACATTTCAGACACACTTCAAAGTCCTTGTTTTTTGTCAGATGTTTTGAGATAGGAAAGTTAATAATGGGCTCAGTTTGGGATTTTAACCACTACTATTTATCTTTAATAACTGTAAAAGAGCTTTTAGATCTTTTTTAATGGCACGTTATTTAGATTGTAGAAAGCATAAATATTGTCAAAGGAATTGAAAACAAATTTATTATAAATAATTCTTCCTTTATATTCGAGTTATTATGTTGCTTTTCTCTAAAAGCCTTTTTGACCTTCATGTTTTTCACAGCTTAAGAAAACGAACACTTTGTGTGAAAACACAACAAAAGAGCTTGAGATATGCAAAGACAAAATGTATGTTTTAAGTCAAGACCTTCAGGTACGGTTTAATGAACTTAACATTGAATTTAAAAGTTCTGCAATTAGTATCCTTCTAGATTTAAATTATCTTTTTGTTTTATCAGAATAAGTCTCTGTATCTCAGTTGTGTTCTGTTAAGCAGACTAACTACCTAGCAAGCTAGTTTGAAGTCATGCTGCCTTATCCTAGTCACAACCTGAGTCTCTGCAACTGACCAGTCCAGTCATTTCACTTCTGAAATAACTAGAAATATATATTTTTTAATTTGTAAAGTATTGTTTTATATTGAAATGAATGTTAGTATTTTTTTTTTCTTAACTAGCTGTATCTACTTTTCTGAAGAAATCTAAAGGGAAAGGAATTATTTAATCAGCTCTGCACACATGAAAGAACATTTTATTAAAGATGTCCTTCCCCAATTTTTGTATATCAGATGTTAATATAGGTAGTAGGTATCAAGCTAATACATAGTACAAAGTTGCTTATAGTAAGATGTATCTGGGAATTGCTAAAAACACTTCAGAACTCATTTAATAACTCTTCTTTTTACTTTCTGAATAAGGAGATTTTTTTTGTTTGTTTGCTTGTTTGGATTTTGTTTCTGTTTTTGGCTGACATATCACTTCTATAATGTCCTATCTGGTTACCCCAGAGGCCAAGGGACTGAGAAAGTCCTGAGGTTGTGGTTAAATTTAATCTCCCAGTTGATAGTATATTATATTATTGCCAAAATAAAATGTCTTTACTCCCAGTGTTGCTCAGATTTTTTTGCTTTATCACGTCAGTTTAGTTGCAGATATTTCTGCAACATACACTGAATCTTCATATTAGCTTATACTTGGACACGATCTCTTTTCTTCTAATTGGTTCTTACTTTACTAGTTAATTTATGTTCAGGACATAAAAGCCTACTTCTTCTGTTATAAGTTATTTTAACATCTTAGGTGCTTTGTTTTTTCCTGATTTTTTTGCAACAGATACATGTATTCTTCATGGAAAAAATCAAGTTTGCTAAATGCATGTTTTGTATGCAGTACAAAAATTTCTTTAAGTCATTGGTAATAAAATTCAATAAATATCTGTTAGAAATTTGCCAATGCTTTAATTTTTAAATATTCTCATTAAGAAGAAAAGTTGACTTTGTGTAATGAATTGTCTTTTATATTTCCTATATAAGCAGCTACGGTCTTATAGAAAATAAACAGTGCTTTCATTTCGTTTAAGAAAAGCAGTGTTTTAACAACCTGTAGCAGTTCCAGAAGTCTAGTTCTTATAGGAACGGCAAGCATGTGTATTTATTCACTCCATGTCAGCAATCCATTACCTTAAAAGGCATAATTTAATAAATTCTTTGTTTGTGAGTTTGGTCTTGGTAACATGAAAGTACTTGTAACCATTTCTGTTAAATTGTTTGTTTTCATGGTCACACCTCCAAAGGCACTCCTCAAATTGTTATTATTTTTTCCGTACCATAAAAAGTACAGTTGTTCACGGTACCTGTTCATGTTGTCCACCAACCTGACTGTAATAGATCAGAGATTTACTTACGAAAATAATGTGTCTTTTCAGTGTCTTTAAGAGCAATCCATTCTGCTGAGGATAATTTATGTTAGTGATTTTTGCATTCTCGTTTGGAGAGAGAAACTGGATTCTGAATTCAGAAGGAAATGTCATACCGTGGTGCTTTTGACTTTCAGAGATACATTTCTGATGTTGTCTAGTTCACAGTTGTCAGCTTTGAAAAATCTATTAGTAGCAAGATGTAGATAGGGAGATGTCAGCCTGGAGCCTTCAGCTGCAGAGCTCTGCAGTAATGTAGCATTTCATGGAACAAAGTTCTTACCAGCCTTTCTGTTCTGTGCCTCTGTTCTACAGGAAGCACGGGATAAGCTGGCCGATGCCAATAAAGAGTTAAATCATCTGCATACTGATTGTGCAGACAGAACGGCTTTAATAGGAACTTTACAAATGGAACTACAGAATGTGCAGCAGTGCTGGGAGGAGGAGAAAGTACGTGCCGCAGAATCTGAAAATGAAATCCAGAAGCTTACCAGGGCTTACCAGAAGGATATGGAGGTATTACCAGAGACAAGACAACTGTCAAAAAGAGTCTTTATTTAATCTCACTTTATACATTGACATACATCAGATGGTTACTTTTAGACTTAACAGATTTATTCCAAAAATATGATTTTAAGATACGTATTCTGAAATACGTATTTAATATCTACAGTATCTCAGGATATGTTCTTTCTCCTTCCATCTGTATTGGAACTAATATCTTAACTCTTCTGGTATTCTGAATTTTTGAACAACTGAGTTTATTTAAACAGCTATACCTGATGAACATTAATTTTTCTTTCAGCTTGAAAGTCAGCAAAAATATTCCGTACACTGGGACATACAGTAGTATTGTCTTCGCATGTTATTAATTACTGATTCACATAGCAATTAATAGTTAGGAAATGCAAAATTGAAGTAATTTTGCCTGCCTGATGTAAAATCTGAAAATTCTTCTTTGCAACTGTTAGCCTGTTGTGGTGTACTGTAAGTGGGAATTGCTTCAAAACTTTTTATTTCAGGATTTTTTCTCCATCTCCTTGTATTTGTTTACAGGTGTTGATTTTCTTGCTTCCTTTCACCCTGTAAAGTAGTTCTGTACTAGCAATAGCAGTGATTTTCTTTATCATTGTTGTCCATATTGAGCTCATTATTTCCACAAATTTAAATGTGCATGCCAATTTGAGTAAAAAGGAACCATTCTTTCCACCTCCCTAGCAGTCTGGTATTTAAATAGTGTCCACATGAAGCAGCTGGAATTGTTATACACATCAGATAATGATTAAAGTGAAGGAAACTAGAAGCCTGGTTATATTGTAAAGTCAGCATGTCTACTGAACTGTGGTTGCATTCAACATGTGTGAATTGATTTGAGGTCTTGGGATCCCTTATTTTCATGCCAAATGTATAATTATCATCCTTGGTTTATCACAGCTCTACCAAAAATGTAGTGATGGTAGTACTGATCTGCCAGAAATGAAGTTAAAACAAACTAAACTACTTCCAGAAATGAAGTTAAAACAAACTAAACTACTTCCCCCCCTCCCCCCTTGGCCTAAAACACCATGAAATAATTGTGAGAAAATGCACTGAAATGCAGTGGAAAAGAGTCAGAAAAAACATAGTCTCTCAACTCAGTTGTCCGCAATTCCTTGATTTAAAGCCTCATCCAGAGCCTCTGGAAAACAATGGGAACCTTTCCACTGGTTTATTGACTTTGAATAAGGGCTCTGTTTCTTGTGGCTATTGAGGTACAGCTTTCTATCATTTTCTAACGAAGGCTGCTAAGTTGCATATGTGTATTAAAAGGATGAAGTCTGGAATTTCCATTGCCTGCTTTTGCTTCTAATGAGGATTTATAACATATCAATTTATTATACCACTGTCTAAAATCAGTATAAATGAGAGAGATAAGGGTTGTGAAATTTTACCAATGAAGCTGTAAGTCTGCTTTGTCTAACTATTTGACTGTACATGTTTCACACAAAAGAAATTTTTGAATGATTGTAGTCTCAGTTGTTTGAACAGTGTTTTGTGCTCCTCAGCTATGAGACTGCTTTCTGTGTGCTATGCAGATATTGGAGTAAGTATGGCTTGAATGTACCTGTAAGTGTTAAATGCAATTTCATCATTCATGTTATTGATAGCACTGAAATTATTAGCAGTGTCAGGTTGCATTCGTTTTGAGCACGGCAAAACTGGGATTTCTGTATTTATATGGTATTTCTAATCATACAGATGTTGTACAAACTGTGTTCCTATTCTAACTTTAATATGTTTGACTGTGAATATTAACAGCATTGCCTTTGAGAAGGTTTGAAAATGAACTCTTACATGTTTGTTTGTTTTTTAAATCTGCGTTACTACAAGTGTGATGTATCTCTTTGGATTCTAACACAGTTCATAGTTAACAGTTGATTTTTCTTTTTGTCTCAGGAGAAGCTAACCTTCCTTCATGGCTTGTACCAGCATTTGGTAGCTGGCTGTGTGCTTATAAAACAACCAGAAGGCATCCTAGATAGATTCTCTTGGTCGGAGCTTTGTGCAGTCTTGCAGGAGAATGTTGATGCCCTGATCTTAGACCTCAACAGGGCTAATGAGAAGGTAAGTGTCCTTAGGCACCAGCTACCTCTATTAAATTCAGTGACATTTGTCCACATCACAGTATCATTAAAAAGGACTGACATTCATCTTATTTCAAAAAGAATTTGGGCGTTAATAATTCAATACCATTAATTATGGCTTGTCTACAACTCAGTTTGATGCCATTGCTGTGGGCATGTAAAAGTGACTGAAGTCTGTATGAAGTCTCTAAGCTCCGCTTTCTGTGCAGGACATGCTAATAGTACTAGCCAATATTAGCCACAGGGACCTAATTAAAAGAAAATAAATTAATCTTACTGATGAAGCAATTCAAAGAACTTAGTCATTTACACTAATAAAGCAAGTCTTTATTTTAGCATAAAACAGAAACAAAATGCACTTACTTTAGGAACATCATCTTTAAATTATGTGCTTAAGATTCAGATATTCTACTGAAAGAAATGCTTATTTATTTTTTGTTTAATTATGGCTTCTTGACCATGAAATTTTTATACAGAAATACAATAGAAAACAGTTATTTTTGTAAAGTATGTCAGTGTATGCTAATATTTGTTCAAGGAAGGAACTGCAGTTTTCTGAGTGACTTTAGTGTTACTAAACTTACTTGGCCCTTCTTCATGGAAATCTCAACTTTTTTAGGAAAAAAAAAAGTGTTTTAAAATGTCTTAAACTGGCTCTTCTGGCTAACACATGCCACTCTTTATTTTCCATGCATGTTCTGACACCTTCGATCAGGGCAGTCCTAGACTGATGTGGTCTAGTCGAATGGTTCCAGGTCCTGATTGCTCTGGACTCGTTGGTATTGAAGCATCAGAAGGGAAAGGCTCTTTCAGAATCTTCTCTGATTCTGGAATTGTGGGCAGACTTGAGACAGAGCTAGTTAACAGAGAATTATTCTGACTCTTCCCATCATTTGGTAAATAACCTAACAGTCAATCAAAATTACTACAGAAACAAATTAGAATAAACTCTGGACTATGGAGGCTGACTGTACAGGCAAAATTTCTATTTTCATTTCAACATAGAGGCGGAAAGAAAGCAGAAGTGAAGGGAGTGGATATTGTTGACAGTGACTTTGTGTATATTTTTGTTCTTTCACCTTTTTAATTTAGTAAGCTTGTTGTGATTGATTGAGAGGGCTGTAGGGCTCTCGTCACATACTTATCAGCTTTTTAAGGATTTGGGGCAGTCTTGCTGCCTGTGGTCTACCTGTTTTCTGAGAACAGAATTTTTCTTCTGATCTGTCATGTGATTGATTTGAAAAATACATTGCTGGTACTCTTTCATAACAAAATATATGTACGTGTATTTGGAGATTATTGTTAGCTTCATTCATTCCTCCATTAGTTTACAAGGGAACTGAGAAGTTGAATCACAGAGTGAATCTCTTCATGCTCATTGCAATGACATCATGGTCTAATGAACTACTTTTGAGAAAAATCTTCTGTACACTTCTTGTGGTCACTTTCCTACTCAATGTATGAAAAGCACTGGTTTTCTAAGGAAAGAAAAAATAAAATTAAGAACTGCTTTTTTTCATTATTACTTGCAGTTCTTGCAAGCTACTAGAGGACTAGTGTGATTGGATTACTAATTTAGCAATACAAGATTTAACTTTTTTTCAATGTAAGCAAGAGATCTCCAGTTCAGATTTCCAAGACAGAATGCAGCAGTTATCTTTAAGAAAGAACAAAGGTGGCCAGAATAAAAGCCACTGTTCTAACATATGTCTTGCAAGTTTCAAGAAAGTGTTCTGTCATGAAAGGCTTTTTACTTTTAATAAATACGTTGAAGAAACTAAAATTTAGATCTTCTACTGAAAGAGTCTGTGCTTAATTTAATATGTTCAATTAAAGTCAAAAGGTGTGTACATGGGGAGATAATGTTTCTTTTTAAACACCTGTTACGCAGATATCTCACCTAGAATATATTTGTAAGAACAAGACTGATACTATGAAGGAGCTTCAGCGGAGTCAGGAAGATGATATTAGCAAAATGGCTGAACAGATGAAAGCACAAGAAAGCTGTTGGCAGAAACAAAAAAAGTGCCTGGAACAGCAGTACTCAGATCTCCTTGGGGAAGTTCATGCAAGGGCACAGGTATGGTGCTGTGAACTTCTCTGATTTTTTTTCCTTGTAAATATTTAATGGACTATTTCAGTAGCTTGGGCTTCTAACCAATTTCAGATTATTTGGGAATTTTAGTGTATTTTTAAAATAATTTAAAAAAAACAACTGCATCACTACAGCAACTGTGCTAATTTTCATTTCTTTCAGAATAGGAAACAAGTGACTATTTAAATGCTGTTTATTTCGGTCTAGCACTTACTAATGACTTTTTCTTTACAGCTAAAGGTGTAAGATTTAAATTGCTTGTATTAGAAATTACGTAGTACAGCAGTGTACTGAAAAATGTGGCTTTCTGCTGTGGGCTATGCATTAGGCAAACCCTCTGGAAAATGCTTTATCTCTCAACTAATTGTAAAGAACTGCTGGGTTTCTAAGCAGGAAATGCTTTTCCTTAGAAATATCTATGCATTTTTTTTTTTTTTTAAAGTTATGTGGGTGTACAAACTGATGGGGTTGGTATCTTGGCAGTGTAGCATCTGTATACAGATTACTCAACAGAACTTTGTTGCATCTTTGTTCTTTCTAGAGTTCCAGTTTGCATGGAACAAGACATTCTAAATTCCTCTGAATTTCTGCTTTTCAATTTTGGACCTGCAAATATTGATTAAACTTTTACCTTTTTGAGGTCCATAGAGTTCATGGATATATGCAGTTAGGACTGTTTTAGTCCTGACTGCTTGCTTCTTGTGAGACTCAATTTTTTTTTCTTACTACATTTTGGTCCTGTTAGCTGTGTTAGTCTGGATGATTGCTGCTGTGCTGAATCAGTTATGCAGATACACTAATGTAGCCTTATTAACATAGAAATCATATATGAAGGCAAATAGACAAATGTCAATTCAGACATGTGTCTTAGATCTTTATTCATGACTTTATAAATTTATCTCAGAGCTGTAACTGCACAGCAGTATGAGTAAAATATCTTGGAGACTGTTGTTTTGGTGTCTTAGAACTGAAGTGGAGAAATGGAACTTTTTTGAAAGGTTCCTTTTTAATTAAAATGGGATGTGGCAATATGGAGACAGTAACACCTGCAAGTGCTTCTGCTGCCAGCTTGTACTGTCCAGGATCCCTGACTTTAAGGTAGGATCTGTGGATATTGTTAGATTCTACATCACTATTGTTGACCAGATGAATGATGTAACCAGAAGGCAGTTTCACTGGTTTTCTGTAAGGCAGAATTTCCCAGAGTTGCCTTAACACTGATCAGCACTAAACAAACTCCCTACAGATAATGCCATTCTTTGTTCCTGGTTTTCATACTTGGTCAGTTGAGCTTAAAATGAATATCCCTTTTCCCTGCCTTATGTAGAAAAACAGTCCCCATGATTTGGTAGGGTGCCATTCTGAAAATGTTACTATGCCTATTCCTTAGCCTCACACAAATTATTTACTTAGCCAGTGCACGGTCTCATAGGAAATGTCCTCTGAATTTTAACTAGCAGTTGTTGTTTATTATATAGGCATTTATTAATCTGTCCCCATTTAAGCAGTGGCAGCTGCTTAAAACAGCAGGGTTTTGTTCTCATATAGAAAAATATGTTGTAAGAGAAAAATCCTGAAACTGTGTAGGTTGCTCCAAAAGTAATTCCTCCTATCTATTTCCATGGAAACCACAACAGATACAAAGAGCACAGTAACACTATTTGAAAGACCAAATTCTCAGCTACAAAACACAAAACATAATTTTTCAACATCATTGCCATCATTAGCTATACATTTTTGCCAGCAATAAACAACAGCCTGCATACCACACTTGTAAAAATCTGCACCAATGAAATTGACCCACTGTTTCACATTTCTTTTGATGGTGGTAGTTTTAGAAAAATGTTGCCCATGCAGTCCATCTTTCATTGGCCCAAACAGGTGAAAGTCAGAAGGCTCCCAATCTGGACTGTATGGTGAGTGCAATAGGACAGTTCAGCCAAGATTGACAGTGTGCTGGGTCCTGGCGTTATTGTGTTGCAAGAGAAAGGTTATCTTCTTATCTGGCCTGACTCTGGAAGTTCAAGCCATCAGCATTATGATGTAGTGTTCAGGGTTGATGGTTTGTCCAGGTTGTAGGAAATCCAGGAGGATCTCCTTTCCTATTCCAGAAGACAGTGCATACCCTTTTACCTGCTGAAGACTGCATATTGAGCTTTCTCTTTGACGAGGATTTCACATGTCACCGCTCCATGGACTGCCATTTAGAATCCTGCTAGTAGTGGTGACACTACCATCGTTACCAGTCTTATCACTGGTAATGATGCAATCTTGGAGACCAGGAGATTGTCACCTTCAGTGTCATATTCATTCGGTATTTCTTGACAAATTTGTATGTATTCTGTTCTTGAGTGAGCAGTCGTGGGACCCACCTGGCACAAACTGTGTGATATTCCAGTGTTGTCACCATCATTTCAGTGCATTGAAGCAGATATTTCTAGCTCCATGCATAGTTCCCTGATTGTAATTTGTTGATTCGTCTGGATGCAATGATCAAGACACTCTTCATTCTGGGATGTGACAGGTGTGCACGACTATCCAGAATGTGGCTTGTCTTTCATGTTGTTTTTGCCACTGCTGAAAACCACCACCCACCACCTCACTGTGCTCACATGCAGTGTTTGGGCTCCATAAATGTTCAGCAATCATCAATGAATGTCAGTGGGTGCAGTTTTTTCTGCATGGAGGAATTCAGTGACACACTTTTGCTTCATCCACACTTCCATGTCAGATGCCATTGTGTCAGACTGCCCCTCTGCTACTATCTGTCACATGGCATCAACATGTAATGGAATAGTGTTGGGAAAGTTCAACCTCTCTTGCCATACCAACATCCTGCCTCTGATGTCTTGGGCCAACATTATACAATAGGAGGCATTACTTTCAGAGCAGCCCTCATGTTAAAATGTTAATTTCAGCAGATTAACAAAATGTTGCCATAAGAGGAAAGGGGAAAAAATCCTCTAGGGATTGGAAAAAAAAAAAAAAAAGTCTTTTATTAGATTTTGGTTTTTTGGTTGTTAAGGAGCTTTGCTTTTGGTAAATTAGATAAAGGCTGTGATATCTTGCAATTACATCAGAATTCAGTGTTTTAACCCAGAAAAATAAAACAAATGAGATACAGAAAAATGTTCTGAAATCAATTTCATTATATTTCTAGCTTTCAGTTCTGTTTTCTTGCCAAAATAAAATATAAGGACTAAAACTCTGTTGTTAGTAGTGTCTGAATTTAGTAAATATTAGTAAATGGTTAAAATTAAAATTCACCAAATCTGTAAGCCACTCAAGAATCCCTCAGAATTGAAGCACTCAAGGAAGCTGGCTTGCCAGCATTTAGGAGGAGCATGCTATATTTCTTTCAAAATTGTCCATTTGAGTTTCAGAGAAAGTCTTAAAAATAATGAAGTGGAAGTTGTAATTAATTATCAGACATTGACAATATTTCTTTTTTTTTTTTTTTAAATCTGTTGTTAGGGTATGTCTTGTTCACTTTTGCTTATTCCCATATAACTAGAAGGATTTAAATGCAACCCTTTATTTGAAAAAAAAAAAAAAAAAAAAAAAAAAGTTAGCTTTAATTAGCTAGAGCACTGAATGTTAGTATAGCTGCCTAACAGCCCTGTAGGGATCATACTTTTATGTTTGTTTACTCAGATATTGGCCTTTCACCTGTTCTGGCCAGAAACCATAAGTTGTTTTCTAAATTCAGCTTACCTTTTGAGTTCCTTCCAGTCATGCTACCAGCTTTTTTTTTCTGTAAAAATCAAACACTGTAAATAATACAGTAGCTCTGAAAATATTGTACATGTTCGTACTTAATTTTAGAGTGACATATGAGGCATCTGAGTTGCATTTTGTAATTAAATTGTTCAGTTATCTATTCTACTTCTGTGTTGTGGGAAGTATTTTAATAAAGCTACATTGTTTTACATACCACTAGGTTTTATGAATGCTGCTTTCTCAATATCTGTATTGTCAAAACATCTGCAAAATCTACCTGCTGTTGTTTTATTTCTTCCTCTTAAAGAGGAATGTGTGTAAGTTTGGTCATGAAAGAGTGTCATTCTGTTTGTCTTCCTAGTCTAGCCAAAATACTTCTTTCCTCTGTCCAAAAAATAATTAAATATTTATTTGGTTAAAGACCTTCTGAGCTGTCAGGGTTGCCTTTTTACAGAAACTTGTAAACTTTGTTTCAATTCTAGTGATAGCTTATGTACTTTTTCCCCTCTGTGTTTATTGAAAGAGACAGAAGAAATTAGAGTGCATCCATTTGCTTGAGGCCTGTAGCAAAGTTGATGTGTGGAAACATGGCTGGTGGATGCCATTTTAGTTCTGTTTTGCCCTGGTTTTCCCACAGGAATAAACACTGATCCCCATTTTTTAACAAAACTGTTTAGGGCTCCAAGAGAGGGAACTAAAGCTTATTATAGTCCTCTCTTTTGTTTTTCATACTGACTTAGCATTCTACTTTTTTGTGTTGACATATGGTAACTAGAGTTTGAAAGAAAAAAGCTTAACTTGAGCTTGTGGTTTGTTTGTGAAGTGTATAAAAATTACTTTCTTTTATCACTGGATCCTGTTTAAACTCAAGTGCTCCAATCACAGAGGACTCTAATGCATCAGGAATCCAATCTAAGCTTCTGAGGCTACAGCATAGTGTCTTGATTCTGGTACAAGAACATGCATGACATCAATACCAACCAGCATGCATGGTCTAAGTGTAGTTCTGGTGTTTTTGGTGTCGTCATTTTGCTACTTGAGTTTACTGTTTTTAACATTCCTCTTTCCCTGTTTAAAGACTTAGAGAGGGAAAAAAATGATGTAAGTTGGAAAAAATCCGTGATGGATGTAGTCAAAATAAAAATGTCTGTATTACATTGTTCTCTTCGAAACTGTGTCTCTGTTCTGTATGAGACATAATTAATCTGTAAATTTATAAGTAGGGGGTTGATTACAAAGTAATTAAGAGATCACCTTTACTTCCCCTTTCCCAGCTGGTACCAATCTGTCTACTTTTATCTTTCGGAGTTTTCCTTACTTTTTTGCCTCTCATACTTTCTTTTCTGCTTTGAAGAACAATGTTCTTTCTGAAACAGGAATATGTAATTGTGTACTGTTAAGCAGAGTCATCAAACTGTGTTGTGTACAGGCAGGTACTGTTGGACTTGCTGTGATCTGTTGTTGTAAATGTGGTTTAGCTTCAAAAGTCTGGAGTGCAGTTACAGTTACAGAACTGTGCAAATTTTACTCATATTGATGTTTAGTTTGCATGTATGTGTTTCTATAGCTTTTTTCTAGAAGACATGTTTTGGCTATATTGTTGACAGTGTTCTGTTAGCTTTTTTTTTTTTTTTTTTTTGAGGTAAAATGATTTTTTTTTTAAATTTAAGCAATTACCTTCAGTTAATATTTCTTTTTGTTGTTTTGTTTTGTTTTTGTTTTCCTCCTCCTTTATCCCAGGAATACCAAGAAACAGCAGAAAAAAGCAAAGAAAAAATCTGTGTCCTTGAAAAAAGACGGGAACAATTGGCCCTTGAACATCTCTATGTGAAAAATACATTAACACAGATTCAGAAGGAGCATTCATCTCTCCTGGCAGCATGTGCACTACTGGCAGGTGCCCTGTATCCTCTCTATGGCCGATCATGTGCGATGTCTATACAAAGAGACCTTCTTCAGGATCAGGTCAACGTTTATGAATTAGTCAACCAGGAAATTAGGACTCTAGTTCATGTTCTCTCTGGTGTAGACAGGGAGAAGGAAGATGATGCAAAAATTAAGAAACAAAAATTCAGAGGCCTAATACGTGTGTTCCGAAGAGGTGTGATTGCAGTTTTGGCAGCCAACAGACTTAAAGTTCTATCCCAGTCTTCTAGTTCTCTCTTCTCATTGATAAATGGCTTCAAAGAAGGCACTGGAATTCTAGTGTGTGTAGGGGACTCCAAAGGCAAACATAATATGTCAAGTAAGCTAATTGTTTTCTTGTTTTATAAATGCTATGTCACATTACATGGTTAGTGAATAACAAATAATAATGTTAGTAATAGAGTGTAAAGTCTCATGTATTAACATCTTAGCAAATGGATTTTCTGGATTTCTTGACAAATGTAATTTCCCCAAAAAAGACACTATTTAGTCTGCACAGCTGTAACCTTTCTTTCAGTGCTTCACATGTGAATTCATACTGTTTGATATCTCTGACACTTTTACTTTGTGTTTTGGAATTAGATACTACCATATATTCTGTTTCATCTGTTTTAGAAAAGATAACTCCTTTATAAATCAGTTTCACAATTTTTATCCTACTCAAAATGGAAAAAAAATATATTGCATTTTGATTCAGGTGAAATATTAATATAGAATGTCTGATGTGTTTTCTCTGGAGATTATATAGTCTTTCTGTTTCTTTCTGTTACCAGATTGCTTTCCCCTCCAGGAACGAGTGATATCCAAAACGTTTCACAAACTCAGACTTCCATTTACTTTCCTGTTTGCTTTATTAGCTGTTGAAAAATACTTAATACAGTCCAAAATATGCTAAAAGAGGAATTAGTTTGTCGGTTATACACTAAGCTTTGATCAATTTTTGAAAGATTTAGAGACGGTAGTGTGCCTTATCTGTGTTACTCAATTTTATTGCTCCCTACAATTCTCTTTCACAGGACACAATAAGGAAGGAATTCGTTGTGTTGAAGCACTCAACTGGTTTACTAGTTCTGATCTCCTGACTGCAATAATCAGTTCGGTCACAGAATTACAGGATGTTATTAGCAGAACAGGTAAATTAAAAAATATTATTGTAGTAGATTCAAACATGTAAAAATATCCCATGAATTTTGAAATTTACATGATTGAAATTGTTACTGTTTTATATGAACTAGTTTTTATGAAGTCTTTTCAGTACATATGGTCATGGAAATAGAAGGCTTAAGAGTGTTTTTAGAAATCACCTGAACTTCTTTATTGTGAGTAAGAAAAAAAACACCTATGCCATGCCAATATATATGTGGCTAATTTGTTCTTAAAAATTTCTAGTGATGTATTAAAATTTTTTAAAAGCTTCTTTTTTTTGTATTTAAGGAATAGTTAACAAAATATTTAAAAGCTTCCTAGTTACCTTGTTCCACTTTTCTAACATTCAAAAAATATTCTACCGAAGACCACCTTATTTTTTATATGAAGTCTATGACATTTCTAATTTAAACATGGACCCTAAAGCTGGGACATATTTAACCTGGGATACTAACCCCACTGACTGCACGAATTTCCTACTATATTTTACAGATATGTATCTAAATTCCAGATGTGAATTTAGAATTTCTGAAATTACTAGCATCTTGAAAACAATTCTTTTCATACTATTTTCATCTTTTGTGCTTGTTATTTTGCTGTTTCTGACAGAGAAATAAATGCCTGTCAGTTTACACACTATATAGCAATCTTCATCTTGTTTCCCTATTGTATTCCCTCTCTAAGGAGATCCTTTTGTCACAGTTACTTAATTTTCTTAGCCTCTCCTCACAAGTGTATTCTCCTATGCCTATGGAAAATTTTAATGCCAGTCTTTGGATATGTCATCTCTTGATTCCCATCTGTTAGCTATTGATGTCTTTGCTAAGAAGACTAAGATAAAATCTCACTTGGTTCCTCTGCATTGCTGTTATCCTCATTTATTCTTTGGTACCTGGCAATTTTGCAGTCCCAAAATCATGTCACAGAATAATGGATATTAAAGGATATATAAAGGATATTAAGAGGAGGATAGTTTACAGAAGTAAAACCATTTAATCAGAAATATTTTGATTGAGTTTCAGGTGCTCTCTTCATGTCTCATCTTGTTGTCAGCAACTTAAATCTGTATCAATACAAAACAAAGTTTAAACTATTTTTCAGGACATTTACTGGGTTTATACTGCAAGTATTCCTGTATATAGACTACTTAATAAGATCTACAAATACAAAAGATAAACTGTAGTATAATCTCTACTTCTGCATCAGTATGCTGAATTGACTTGCTAGAATACCCTAGTTGTCTTTTACCCATATTGAAGTAGATGAGTATTTTGATAGAGTTTGTTTCCTTGATATCTCTGTACACAACACAGTTTTTTGGTGTTTAGAATTAGCAAGAACCATGCTGAGAATATTATAACTGCAAACGATTTAGGTCATATTTTTAAAGAACATCAAGTTCTTACTGCTCATGTATTACTTGAGATTCCATTACTTGTGGGATCGAAAGTCTCTGAAGAACCTTTGGTTCAAAAATACTAAGAAGTCATTTAAAGTTGGACATGAAATTTCCAGAAGTGACAAGGCTGTGTAGGAATACATTTGAAAGAAAGGCTTGCATACTTTTGCTTTTATTTTCTGCAAGCCCTATTTCAAACAGGATTTAAAGCTGCAAACTGACTCGAGTGATTTTGAAGAATATTTGAATGTAAATAGGCAATCTGAGAGGCATTTTCTCTCATCAGATCTTGAAATTCTAGCACTTCCAGATTAGACTTTCCATCATAGGAGAGAGTAAGGATAAGGAAGAAAGTGTTTTGTGGATCTACAATATGAAATGGTTCAGTGCCTTGAAAGGGCTTTTAAAGATGACCAGGCTCTGAGGAGGTATTTGAGGCATTTTGGAGAACCCAAATCTATCACACAGAATTGGAACTCTGGGAGTTGTGCTTTTAGGCACATTTGTTGTGCTTCTAATTTAAAAAATATGTATGCTTTTTCTTTCAACATTCATAACTGGTTTCCCTTCACATTGTTTGGTCCTCACTCCAGCATGTCTTGGAATGATCTCTTATGTTCAACTTGATTAGAAGTTTAAGTGTTTGTCTATTTTTTTCTGTAAGGTTAGTCTTGTAGTTTTGTTTGAGCACTGTACTGCGGTAAATCAGAAAAAGTATAGATCAAGTATTTTGAATACAAATATAATTAATTGAAACATGTACAAAGGTTTTGAAATTTGACCTTTTAGTTATTTTAGTCTTGTGTAGTACTACTGAATTCATTCTCTTGACTGTTCTGTTTTACCATATAAAAGTAAATGAGAATTTTGTCTTCACCTGTCAGTGTAAGATATGTCACTTTCCATTATCTTTTTCATTCACTTAATGTAAGAATTAAATGCTTTTTGTGACATACCTGCATTTATGTAAATCATGTATTTTATGCATCACAATATACATAGCTTAATGTTTTTGTTTTATCTTTGATCCTTTGTGGGGATATTCTTAAAATGTATACACTTAAAGCATAAATTCTCTATCCAGTGATTATAGATACAGTTCCTTGTAGAGCTTCATTATATTCTTATTTTATCTTTCAAAACAGTAACTTATGTCAGCTTATCTCTGCATGTTTCCTTTAAACCACTCTTCAATGGAAATAAAACAGAGATAATGCTTTGCTTTTTTTTCCCCCTCATCCCAAGAGAGTGTCTTAAGATATGGGGTACTCAGCAACTGGAATCCCAATTTTGAAATAGGATAATAACTTGATACAACACAGTTCCCCAAAAATATTATTATTAGTTTATTTTTCATGGTTAAACTGGTGATTCTAAACATAGGGGAAACATCTAAACATAGCAAACCATCTTTGGTACTGAATACATTGAGAAATACTGAGAAATACTGTTTTTTTGGCAGGCAAACTGTATCATGTAAAAAGATGTAGATGGAAGTGCCATGGTTAATGGGGCAAAAAGATGTAATTGACATATCAATGTTTTCATATTTACCAAGAATCACTTTGAAGGAGAGGTTTTTGGAAAATTTTTTATGTCTTCTTATGTGTTAGGTAGTAAGCATAGTTCCAGTTTTAGGTAAATTGCACTAAGCATTCAAACTAATCGTTGTCATTACAACTGAAGAAGTGAGATGGTCTTTGAAACTGAAAGGTAGGACAAGACTAAATTTTTTGAGTTAAAATGATAAAGATAGCTGATCTTGAATGTGATCAGCAGTGGAGAACCAGCAGAAGAAAAAGGGAGGAGCCTTGGCAAAAGGAAGCACAGCATTGCAATACCAGTTTCTTCTGGGTAAGACAAGAATCATTTTTTCCTGTTTCAAAAGCCACTTGGATTACTGAGGTAAAATACAAAAATGTTGGACAATGTTTCTAGCTTTAAAGATGAGTAGAAGGAGACCTATCTAAGGAAATGAAGAAACGACAGATTTACTATCAGTAGGAGTTATGGAGAGCATGAACTCAAAAATGATAATTCCAGTTCAATCACTGACATCATTGAAATGGTGGTATTTTGAAATAGAAGTAGGAGAATGGTTGTGAAAAAATACTATCCAACTTTATCATGCACTATTTCATTTGTTTGCTTACAGGCAATTTGGTTCTTATATGTATAAATGATATATTCTTCATGATGAGAATCGAACTCTGAAGATAGCAGTAATCTTGTTTTATTTACTCTGAACCTTTGGCTTTATTCTTGTAATGTATAATAAGAAGAAATTATTTTACTTATTACAAGCTATCACTATTATTTTTTCTGTTTACACTTTTAAGTAAATATTTTAATTCACTACGGCAACAGGAGATCTGCTGTACTACTGAATGTAAATAAGCTCTTCCATGCTTGTCATCTTACACTGATAGTATCATAAGACAAGTAATGACAGATTAAGACCTGCCTAGCAGAGGGAAAACTAAATTACAAGACTTTTATTAAGGCATAAATAAACCTATTAACTCTTATCTGGAATACCAATTAGTGGAAGGAGCACTGACAATTTTATTTATCAACATTAAACACAATTATTAATTACAGACCTGACGAATCTAGCAGTAAGCAGGACATGTTGGGTGTGCTGGGGCCTTAAGTCCATTATATGAGAAGGATGATTACCAAAATCCTGTGGGGAAATAAGTAATTGTAGCTGTAAAATTTTAATTGCCTTGGAATAAGGTAAATTATATTCTCTTGTCTCAGAATATAAATACTATGGCATTAAGGTACCAAGGCTCACTAATTTTGAACAGCAAATGATTTAGTCATCTATGGAGGAGAGGGAAGAGGAATCAGAAAATGCTCACAAATTTGCATTGTAAATATTGTGATAAAGTGATTTACTGTGTGCTACAACATCTGATATATTTGATCTGGCTTGCATTTTGCTTGCATCAGTCTTACATTTTTTTTTAATAAATCACAAAATTTGAACATGCAAAGACTTCAGAGTGTGTAGTGTTGGAGAACATTTAAAAAGATACAGAAAATAGTTATTTGTAAAACAAATCCTGTTCTTTTAGATCCTATCCAGTTTTACCCTTCCTATCCAGAGGTTGATGGAAGTAGACTGTTTACTGCTAAATACAGAGTTTGTTCCGTATTTGCTCTGGTACATTCCCTAGTCCTCAGTCTTCCATTATCTGAGGCAGATTTCCTGCTGATAGATGCTATTTGTTGTTACGTTTTTTTCTTCTGAAAAAATGAGACTCTTAATCTCTTTGATGTTTTGTTGTTATTCCTTAAAGATCCAAAGTCTTGTCTTTCTGGACGCTTACTTGTAAGTGCCGCCAGGAACTCCTTTTCAAAACTTATGGACAAACTTAACATAATAATGGAGGCTGTTCCATTAGATAGCAGCAGGAGTGTTACTTACGTGGAGAAAAACTCCTTGATACAGAGGCTGGCTCATGGACTTCATAAAATAAATGCACGAGCTCTGGAAGCTGGATCGTGTGACAGATGGCCCATTATGGTATGCATGTTTATAATGCTACTTCAAGTAAATAGTGTGTTCTCAGCATAAGTGTTATGGTGTAACTCTCTTCATGGTGCCATTAATTTTGTTCCAGATTTATGAGTCAGTTACATTAAAGTCACCTATATAAGGATTCAGAATTTGATTTGCAACACCTTAAAACATCATGTCTTGAGTAGGTCTTCTGAAGTCAAGGAATTTTAAGAAGGAATTTGATGTGCGCAAGAAAAAGTTGAAGTTCTATCAAAATTATATTTGATTTATAGGAGCAGACTTGCTTGTTAAGATTTGTTTGTTTTTTTTCTGTTAAGGTTACCTTCCACTGAAGATAACCTTCTCCTTTCTAGAGGTTAAATAGAAATTAAACGTTAAGGTCTCTGTTGCAGAGCCTGTCTTTTATTGTGTGTCTTGCATGAAAACAAGATACTTCTCTGAAAACAAAACGTTCAGTAACCCTCTAAGGTGGGTGAAATGGATTCATGTATTTACACTTGTGCATCTTCTAGAGATGGAGGACAAGACTATGGTTTTGCATAATTTTCTTGGATATTACTGTTACTGATTCTATAAACAGTATATAAATATAAAATGGCACACTTTGATAGCATGTGAAATTCTTTCCATTTACCAACAGAAAAGCATAGCATCCTTGCAGAAGCAAATATTTGAATTGACACAAAGACTTCATACAGTAGAGGTGGAACGCCGCTCGCTACGCCTAGAACTTGCAGAATTCAAGTTGAATTTCAGTAAGATGAAACAGGAGGCAGACAAAGCCCAGAGCCTGAAAGAGCAATTAAGTTTGTTTAAGCAATCTGTAAGTATATTTGATGTAGAGGAGACTGCTTACAAGAGTCCTCCCTTTTATGCATTTTTTTTCCATTTGTATTCTTTTGAAAAACAAGTGTAAAGTCAATCTACTATTAACAGAATTTTCCAGATATTTTACCTTGTAAATGTCTAAACCGTAAGCAAAATGTATTTAGAAGTATCTCCTATCCACAGGAGTTTTGCTTTGGTTTGCAGAATAAGGTGTTTTGTGCAAATTACACATTTGGATTTCAGCAGTTCACGTTTAGTTCTGTATGTTAAAATGTTGATGTTATTTGTGCGCCCTAAAAGAATTTATAGATTTCACATCAAAAGAGTAAATTTGGCTAGTGAAAGGGTACTGAATAAGTATGTTCATGACAAACTCGTAAGCAATAATGTAACATTTTAAATTCTACATTTATATTGAATTGAAAAATAACAAGAAAGGATTCTGTAGCTACGTTGGTCAGAAAAGAAAGGTCAAGAAGAGTGTTCCCCTTCTGATAAATGTGAAGGCAGTAGTGGTTTCAGCAGACTTGGGGAAGGCTGAGGTACTCATTGAGTTCTTTGCCTGATTCTTCACTGGCAGTCAGGCTTCCCACACTTCTGATGTCCCTTAACCTCTGGCTGTGGACTTCAGGGAGCAAAATCTCTTTCACTGTAAAAGCAGGTGAAGTCAGAGATGACCTCATTACGCTAAATGTGTGCAACTCTATGGGGCCAGGAACTGGCTGATGTTTTTGTCAAGCCACTCTCCATAATATTTGAAAATTCATGGCTGTCAGGTGAAGTCCACAGTGACTGGAAAAAGGGAACATCAGTTCTGTTTTCAAGAAAGGGAGAAAGGAAGACCTGGGGAACCACAGGCTAGAGCCTCACATCTGTGAGGCTTGGGAAGATCATGGGATGGATCTTTCTGGAAGCTGTGTTAAGGGACATGCAAGATGAGGTCATCCAAGACAGCCAGCCTGCTTTTGTTAAGGGCAGATTGTGCCTCACCAGTATGGTAACCTTCGACTGCTGGAGTGCCAGCGTTGGAGAACAAGGCAGAGGAACTGATGTTGCCTAGCCCACTTGTGCAAGACCTCTGATGTAGTCCCACACCGCATTCTTATCTCTAAGCTGATGAGATATGCATTTGAAGGCTGAACTGTTTGGTGGATAAGGAATCTGTTGTATGATCAGAGTCAGAGAGTGGATCTATTTCCAGGGGAGGGCCAGTGCTGAATAATGTCTTCCAGGGGTCTGTCTTTGTACCCATGCTCTTCAACATCTTTACCAATGACTGAGACAGTGGGGTTGAGTACACCCTCAGCAAGCTGGATGTTGTAGTAGATACTATTGCAAGGAGCTGCACTTGGGCCAGGGCAGTCCGAGGTATTTGTACAAACTGGGGGAGGATCTCCTTATGAGTAGCCCTGTGGAGAAGGATTTGAGGGACCTGGTAGACGAGAAGCTGGACATGAGCCAGCAGTGTGTGCTTGCAGCCTGGAAGGCCAACTGTGTTTTGGGTTGCATTAAAAAAGGGGTGGCCAGCAGGGAGAGGGAGGTGATTGTCCCCCTCTACTCAGCTCTTGTGCGGCCCCATCTAGAGTACTGCGTCCAGGCCTGGGGCCCCCAGCACAAGAAAGATGCAGAGCTCTTGGTGTGGGTCCAGAAGAGGGCCACTAAGATTATCAGAGGGCTGGAGCACCTCTCCTATGAGGAAAGGTTGAGGGAACTGGGCTTTTTTAGCTTGGAGAAGAGAAGGCTCTGGGGAGACCTCATTGTGGCCTTCCAGTACTTGAACAGAGCATATAAAAAGGAGGGGGAATGGCTGTTTACGAAGGTAGATAGTGATAGGACAGAGGGGAATGGTTTTAAACTAAGGCATGGGAGATTTAGGTTAGATATTAGGAGGAAGTTTTTCACACAGAGGGTGGTGACGCACTGGGAACAGGTCGCCCAAGGAGGTTGTGGATGCCCCATCTCTGGAGGCATTCAGGGCCAGGCTGGATGTGGCTCTGGGCAGCCTGGTCTGGTGATTGGTGACCCTGCACGTAGCAGGGGGGATGATCATTATGGTCCTTTTCAACTCAGGCCATTCTATGGTACAACTGAAGGAACAGATGCCTAATTGAGCTTGATAAGTGGGCCTTTGTGAACCTAATGATGTTCAGCAAGGCTAAGTGGAAGGTGCTACACCTAGGTTGGGGCTATCCCAAGTATATGTACAGGCTGGGAAAGTAACCCTTTGAGAGCAGCCCCATAGAGAAGGACTTGGAGGTTCTGGTGAACAAAAAGTGGGATATGAATCAGTATTGTGCACTTGCAGCTTGGAAGACCAGATGTATCCTGGGCTGCATCAGAGGAGGGTTGATTGTCCCTCTCTACTGTGTCCTTGTGAGGCTTCATCTGGAGTAGACATGGTGTCAAGGCTTAGGGTCCCCAGCAGTAGAGGGATGTGGAACTATTGGAAAGGGTCTGGAGGAGGGCCATGGAGATGATCAGAGGCATGGAGCACCTCTCCTGTGAAGAAAGGTTGAGGGAGTTGGGCTTGTTTGGCTTGGATATGTCTCTTGGAATACTAGGTAATGGCCTTCCGTTCTTAAAGGGAACTTATAAGCAGGAAGGGGGAGTCCAACTTTTCACACAGGTCCCGTAGTAGTAAAGCAAGGGAGAATAATTTTGATCTAAAAGAGGGGAGGAGTAGGTTAGATGTTACTCAAAGGATTGGTGAGGGAACAGGCTGCCCAGAAAAGCTGTGGATGCTCCATCCCTGGAGGTGTTCAAGGCTATGTTGGCCCTGGGAACTTGGTCTGGTGGGTCACAAACCTGCAGCAGAGTGGTTGGATCCCTTCCTACCTAAGGCATACTATGATTCTATGGTCATTGAATATTATGGTAGAGTATTACTGTATCTTTGAGTATGAGTGGTGTTGAGAACTAGTTAATGCAAATTTTAGTGTGTCTGTTTCCTTGAAGAAATGAATTTATGGGAAGGAAAAAAAATCAAAAAGCCTTCTACGCTCTTAAATTCCTCTGAGCCTTTGGAGCAGCTGGTGGATCTAACTAAGCACCATGGGTCTGCTGACTTGTACATAACACTGTCTGGCTGGAATGAGAGGAAATGAGAAAAAGGTTTCTTAACTACTTGAAGTCATTATGTAACAAGTAATGGGCCTGTTCTGTAGGGATTTAGTCTTCTCAGATTATCACTGCCGTAGAACTTGAATTCTGTGTCCCCAGTATATCCTTTTGTAGACTGTTGGTATACTCCTCATCATCCTCTTTCATCTGTACCTTCAGTCTTTATTGCAGGGAGAAATGCTGTGGGTTGACTGGCCACCTTTCTTCCTGTGCTTCTCTTCTGTTGCTTAAATTCACAATTGATCTACTGTTTTAGCAGATTGAGAAACTGGGTGGATAAGTGTCCCTGTATACACTTTTTTGCTGCTTTGGGCAACTGTAATAGTCGTTTCTCAGAATGAACAGTATTAGCTGTAGTTGTGCCCAAAGTTGATCTTGAGGCCTAAGTGATAGACCTGTTAGTATGACCCAATCAAAACACTTCCAAACAGAAAATATTTAATAGATGATTTCACTTCTTGTTCTTAGGCAGTAAAGTGATTTTTTTATTTAAATGAATAAGGCTATCTAATCATCTTCAGTTTTCTTCATAGTAGTTCATCCGCTTTTACAATTCTGGGGTGCTTAAATGAAAATGTCATTTAGATGTAGATGCTTTATTTCTTTCTTCTGATTCATATTGAGCAGAGGAGAAATGGTCCAGGGACGCATTTACAATGGCTAATATGATGCACGCTGAAATGTGATGTTGATCTTCATATTTCCTTTTTAATACTGATTTTTTTTTACAACCTCACTATGTTAATTTGGATAAAATAATTAATGCATACTGTTTACAATACCCTAAATGCTTTTTTTTCTTTTCCAAAAAAAAGTTGCCTACTGTTTAGTACTTCATGGTCTGCCTTCATATTTAAAAACCTAAGTGTTCATCTTGAGCATGCTTTTATTTTAGAATTTTATATGCTAGCAAATAGAATTCTGGAAGTCAAGCATGTAAACAAATGAATATAGTTATGCAATCAAACACAATTTATTTCCCTTATCAGAAATTGATCGCTCACAAGAGGTTTGAAAGTGCATGTGAAGAATTAAATAATGCATTACATTGGGAGCATCAAGCACAAGTGCTGTTGAATGAACAGGCACAACAGCTACAGGAGTTAAATAATAAACTAGAATTGCACTCCAGTGAAGAAGCAGATAAAAACCAAGTCTTAAGTGAAACTGTAAAGGTAAGATGATTGTTCTTACAAAACAGATACCTAAAGTATACCTTTTTGTGAATGAGCAAAATCTTTCGGGTTTTGTTTGAATAAAATGTAGTAGTTAAACTATGTAGTAGTTAAATAAAATTAGTAGTAGTTTAATTCATACTGCTCAATCTGTTGGAGTTCTGTGGTACTCAGAAAAGACTTTCAAGATGAAACTTTCAGATATGATCTCCCTTTTCTGTTTTTAGGAGTATCTGATGTACAGCAGTATCAGTAATCTGTGAAGTATTTTGAGCTGGCATTGTAGATAAGAGATTGGAGTTTTAGGTGTCATGAGGTGTTTGCAGGCTAAATAAAAAAGAAGAAATAAATGAGTTTCTTTTTTAGAGACCATTAGAATATTTTAAAATCTCAATTAACTGTTTCCTGAATATAATCTTAGTGCAAATAATGCATTTGCTAAGTTGTTAGATGAGTGTATAGAAAGAGGTCCTTTTATCATCAGAAATTAAATTTTCCCCAGACATATCAGTAATGAAGAAAAAGAATTTGTTATCAGCAACTTTGGTAGCAAATAAAGGAGTAGAGATGAAGTAGGAGCTTTAAAATGAGATGGATAACATGGAAACAGCAGAAACATTGTGTTGACAGCTAATAATGTGTGGTGACCTTAACTCTGCAGCTTTTAGTTATTTTTTATTTAAAGCAGGCTTTCCTGCTTCTACCTCTTCTTCAGCATTACTATTATTTTTTCACCTCCTGGTGTTTTTCTGTGAAATGACAGTTGAGCAGAAGAGAGTACTTCACTGGTATTTGGAGAAAAAAAGTATTTACAATTCTGAGGAAGGATTTAGGGAGGAAGTGATAGGAAAGTGTAGAAACAGAATGAGAACCTTAAAGACACAAACTACAAACCTAGTATAAGTGTCAGAAGACATTGTTGAAAGTACAGCAATGAAGATGGATGTCAAGGATGATGGTAGCAAAGTGTTATGTTTTGAAATGTTGTGCAGTAGAGAATGCTGAAGGATATTCTTAAATTTAGTAAGAAGAGTTTTCATTAGAAGTATTACTTACTATATGAGCTGTATCTCATATAGTAGGGAGAAAGACAATGCAATTGCAATTTAACAGTTGGTTTTTATGATTTTCTTCTCTCTCATGTTCCTAGCTGTAGATGTTTCATTTCTGTGTTAGAGTAAATTAAACTTGTCTGTTTAAGTTGGTTTGTTTGCTAATACTATCGGGTTTTTTTGTTTGTTTGTTTCAGATAAAAGGAATTATGTATAATCCTAATAATAATAATAAATAAAATCCAACAACTAGGCTTGTTTGATTCCTTTGGAAATTTTTTGATTTCTTTAAATTGGTTATTAATATCATAAAGAAGGGGAAGAATAGAAGAAAGGTCTTATTTGAAATCTTAATCTGAGTCTACTCTTAATACATTGCTATATGGTATTCCATCTTGATAAGTAAATAATTCCTTTTTATTTGTTTGGAGATGAAACTAGAAGTCAATCGTAAGTATTTAAAATACAGGATAGAGTTTTAAATAAATCTGTTGCATGCATTATTGGATACTGAATTAGATTTAACAGCTTCTGGGCTTTATTAATGAAACTTAAAACAGGTTTTTTTGAAATGGCGCTGTTCCTAAAGTGTATTTTATTTCTATAACTACTAGAAGAAGTTATTTCTATAACTACTTGGCTACTAGAAGAACTTGCTTTAGTGTAAAATGCTTGATTATAACTTACTGAAGCTTGTGAAGATACAGTAGCTAGTAGTCTAGCTGTTATGATAGGATAAAGCCTACAAAAGCAGACAAAATAAGCCTTAAAGCTGCAACTTCTACCACTTGCAGTTACTCCGATTTGTTTTCAAATGCATTACTCTGTAATTCTCTCAATTCTTTCCATGGATGAGTTTGAAGTAAACATAGCAGTAGGCTTAATGCTGTATACTTGCCCCATGGTAACTGCAGCAATTAAAGCAAGTCTGTTATTAATTTCTGTTTGAAGGTTGATTGATGTCACAGAATTGTAGGGTTTGGAAGGGATTTCTTGTGATCATCTAACTCTCCCTCTCTGCTAAAGCAGGTTTCCTATAGTAGATTACACAGGAAAGCATCCAAGCTGGTTTTGAATATCTTCAAAGAAGGAGTCTCCACAATTTCTCTGGGCATCTTGTTGCATTTGCTCTGTCACTCCCAAAATAAAGAAATTTTTCCTTGTGGTTGTGTGGAACTTCCTGTGTTCAAGTGTGTGTCCATTGCCCCTTGTCCTGTCAGTGGGCACTGTTAAAAACAGCCTGGCCCTCATTCACTTGTCTCCCACCCATCAAGTATTAATAAGCATGGATAAGATACTTCATCAGCCTTTTCTTCTCCAGGCTGAACAAGTCTCTCAGCTTTTCTCATACTGAAGGTTCCTAATCTTTGTGGCTCTTCACTGGACTCTGGTTAGAAATAACCTGTATTTCTTGAAGAGCCTGGAACTGGTCAAAGTACTCTGGATGTGACCTCAGCAGGGCAGATGAGAGAGGTACGTCTCTAATAACCTCCCTCAGCCTGCTGGCCACGCTCTTTTTAATGCACCCCAGGGTACCATTGGCCTTCCTGGCCACAGGGGCACACTGATGGCTCATGGCCAACCTATTGTCCAATGGGACACCTACATCTTTCTCTGTAGAGCTCCCCTCCAACAGGTTACCCTTAACCTGTATTGATTCAGACAATTTTGCCTCCCCATGTCTAGGACTTTACACTTTCACAACTTCATAGGTTCCTTTCTGCCCAGCTCTACAGTCTGTCCAGGTCTTGCTGAATAGCAGCACTGCCTTCTGGTGTGTCAGCCACTCCAAGCTTTGTATCTTCAGCAAACTTGCTGAGGGAGATCTGTATAACTTAATCCATGTCATTGATAAAGATGTTGAACAAGATTGGACCCGGTACTGATCCTTGGGAAACACCACTATTGAAATAGAATCTGCACCACTGATCACAACTTTCACTGCCGCTTGGCCAGTTCTCAGTCCACCTCACTGTTCACTCATTTATGCCATGCTTCCTAAGCTTACCTTTGAGAATGTTATGGGAGGCAGTATCAAAAGCATTGCTGAAGTCATTATATACCTAGTTGGTCATGATATCCTAGAAGGATACCTCATTGGTCAAGTGCGGTCTCCTCTTGGTGATTCTACATTGACTAATCCTGATAACTTCCTTTTCTTCTACTTGCTTTGAGATGACGTCCAGAATAAGTTGTTGCAAGGGACAGAGGTGAGGCTGACTGGCCTGTAGTTTCTCACATTCTCCTTCTTGCCCTTTCTGAAGATTGGAGTGACACCAGCTTTCCTCTAGCTCTCAGGCACCTCTCCTGTTGTCTGTGACCTTTCAAAGATGATAGAGAGTGGTTTGGCAATCTCTTCCAGCAGCTCCATTAGCATTCACAGATGCATGCTCTTGAGGCACGTGGATTTGTGTGCAGCAGATTTGCAGAGATGATCTCTGATCAGATCCTCTTTCACCAAGTCCCTTTTGCAGACTCTCTTACCTCCAGAAGTTGAGATTTCTGAGGGGCAGTCTTAGCTTTAAAGACTGAAGAAAAGAAGGCATTCAGTAACTCCCCGTTAGTGTCCTTGTTACCGGGACATCTACCTCATTCTGCAGCAGGCCTACATTTCCCCCAGTCTTCCTTTTGCTACTGACATAGGTAGAGAAGTCTTTCTTGTTGTCCCCGACCTCCCTTGCTGGATTTAATTCCAAGTATGCCTTAGCCTTCCTCAATGCATCCCTGTGTGTTGTGACAGTGTTGCTATATTCCTCACATGCGACCAGAGTCCTCCTCCACATTCTGTAGACTTTATTCTTCCATTTGGGTTTTCCAGTGAGCTCACTGCTTATCTATATGATTCTTCTGTTACCTTCACTTGGTTTCATTTCACTTGGGAATGCATCAATCTTGTGTTCAAAAGAAGTGGTGCTTGAATGTCAGCCATCTCTTTTGGGCCCTCTTACCTTCCAATACCAGCTGGATACCTTTTGGTAGGTCTTGAAGAGATCAAAGTTAGCAGTCTTGAAGACCAGGATCTTCCTACTAATAGCTTTGTTTCTTCTATGTAAGATCCTGAACTCCATGATCTCATGGTCATTGCATCCATGACAGCCTCTTCACATTCCCAGCCAGTCCTGCTTGTCTGTAAGATCAAGATCCAACAGCACGCCTCTCCTTATTGGCTCCTCCACTACCTGGCTCAGAAGATTGTCATCCACACAGAAACCTCCTGAACCATGTCAGCTTGGCAGTGTTGCTTTTCCAGCAAATACAGCATGACTGAAGTCCCTCATGAGAACCAGGATTGTAAGGCTACTTTCAGCTGTCTGTAGCCTTTTCCTGATCAGGCAGCCTGTAGTAAACACAAAATAGTGTCACCTGTATTAGTCTGTGCCGTAATTCTCGCCCATGAGCTCTCTACTCAGTCATCGTTCATTTCTAGGCGTAGCTTTGGTACATTCCACTTGCTGTCTCACAAAAAGAGCAAGTCCATCACCATGCCTTACTGATTTGTCTTTCCTTCACAATGGTACCTACCCTAGTTACTTTGGTTGTAAAAACCTGTACCTGTGGCTGTATAAAGAAAGGAAAAGAGCAGTCATAGTAGCATAGCAACACACATTCATAATGTAGTGTTTCTTGACCTCTTATTGTGAATAGTTGATTTTATAACGTATGGTTCCTAAATCATCTCCCATTCAATTTTTAATCGCTGTTTTTTTACAGTCTCTGTGTTAACTCAGAAATGAGTTTCAAACCTGTGCTATATATAAACCTCTTAAATTCAAGCACGAGTCTAACACAAACTGTGAGTTGAGTTTACCAAGGGGTAAAAACAGTTATTTTATTTCGAGCTTTTTGTAGTTTAACCCCAGTAGGCTGCTAAGTCCCATGCAGCGACTGGCTCATTCCCCTGTAGCAATGGGGGAAAGACTTGGAAGGGCAAAAGTGTAAAAACTCATG